TTTACTAAAACAAAAAATCAATAATATTTTTGAAAACTGTAAAAAAAAACAAGGTTTTCGTTTTAGTTCATTTTTTTTCAAGGTTTCAGGAATTTTGAAGCTATTTTAAAAATTATTTTTATTTCTACAATGCTATTATTTTTACCATGTCAGTTTTTCAGCTTCATCATCTCATTTTTTTGTAAATTAAATTAAGTGAAATCAATTTGTAACTTAATTTTGGCATAAAATATGTACATTCTAGAAACAATAAAATACGATTTTCAATTTAGACTTGACAGTAAAATATAGTTTTTCCTGCAATTTCATTAAATTTTCCATTCGAGCACTTAAATAACCACTAAAGCATTTATTTTATGCCTACCAACCGCCACAACCCAAAAAAATATTTTTTTAATGAAAAAAATTTCCTTTCAGTTGGTGGATTCATCCAAACCCACATCCGCAACGTGCGCGCATCCGCCAACCCCGACAAACAACTCGCCAAACAACACTTGGGTCAAATCTCCGTCCCCAAAAAATACCCCTTCGACCTTCGTAAATACTCAGCAAATGGCGAATTCTCTTACAGTTTTGATACTCTCGGTATCGCCAATTCGATCGAAAGCAACATCATCTACTCCCAAAGCTCGTTTTTGCCTCGTTCTACTAGCCTAAACTTGACTGCGGAAGTTTTCGGCCACACTTTAAACTTTTTAGACATTCAAACACGTCAAGAGAACTTGGACCGTTTAGTTGAACATTATTTGGGACCTAAAGGCTTGCTTAGGGCCAAATCTCTACAGGAATTGTGGGACGGGACTGGCCCTCGTGTCAGAAAACTGACCCAGGAGTTGGACAGTCGATTAAGGGAACTTCTAAGGTCGCGTCGTGACCTTTCAAAGGCCGAAATTGAATCAATCGGAAAACAAGTCGATATCAAAACGAATGAACTCAACAAGGATTTGGATCTTGATTTGAGTGTCAAGGCTTTCGGTTCGGAAGTCCTCTTCTTGAACCTCAACGATGATGTCCGCAAGTACACCCCGGAAGCTGTCCTTGATCAAATCTTAGCCGGATTCAAGCAAGGTCTTGATAAAATCAAACACTTCGATGAAACTCTTCGAAGTAATCTTCTTTTCCTCGATGCTGAACTCTCCTACCCCACATCTTCTGGTTTTCCTCTCCGACTTGGAGTCGAAGGTTCTGCCAACCTCCAACTCAAAACTGCCGGTTCTTTCGACATGAAACAAGGCCACAAAGTCAAATTCACCCTAATTCCAAGTGCTAATGTTGAAGTTTCCGGTCGTTTGACTGTCGATACTTTAGTCCTCGAAAGCGGTCTTAAGGTCATCTCGACTTTGCATACAGCCACCGGTGGTGACCTTACTTACGAACTTCTGAAAAACGGCGAAGATATCAAATTCTCCTTCCCCGTTGAAAAACAAAACATTCTTTCGGCTAGTCACGATGTTGTTTTTCATAATCGCGAATGGGGGGCTCCAGAAGTCAACACTCCATTGAAATTCGCCCAAAATAAAGATTTCTCGATCTGTTTGGACCAATTGAGTCCTTTCATTGGCTTGACTTTCTGTGGGGAATTCACCGGACCGAATCTACAAGGACAGAAAGTACCACTTTTACCATTCCCATTCTCGGGCGATGCTAAACTTGCTGTCACTGTCGAAAAAGAAGACTTGTCCATGTACCACTTACGATACGAGTACTCTTTGGGTAAGTTGGATGATTTTAGGTGTAGTAAATCACTCTTTATTAACTTTAGAGGGACATGAAACTGGCCTTAAAGCCGTACTAGAATCCTTGGGAAAAAGTGGGCAAAAAAAGGTTGCCCTAACAGCTGACGCCTTCCTCCAACCAGAAAAATACTTCAAGCTTGCCTTAACATCCCCTGTCACTTCAGCGGTTCTCGAAGGCCGTATAACTCTATCAGAAAGTGAAAGGTCACTATCTTTACGTTTTGACCAAGACAAGAACGAATATTTTGGAAAAATTGGAGTCACGGTTCAAGGTTCTCCATCAAAAGCCATCTACAAGCCAATAATCCAATACAAAACACCTCAAGATTCAGGTAAGTCCTTTTAAAAAGTTTCAAAATCTTTCTAACTCTAATTTAGCCCTTCAAGTACCACCCTATAAAGTTGATGGCCAAGTAATCGTCGAACACAACGGTCCAACAACCACTTTTACATTAGACAATGTCAAATTGATCATCCCGGACCAGAAAACAATCACATTTAATGGAAAATTCGGTCATGAACCTGAAACTGTCTTCGCCGACTTGACAGTTTCAGATGGTAACAGTAATGCAGCTTTCAAGGGCAAACTCCATGTCAACGCTAATCTTATCAAGTACAATGCTGAACTGAAAAACTCACTAAACCCGAGTGCAAACATCCATCTTAAGGGTGAACTTGCAAAATCGCCTGAAGAACTGAAACACTTCTTCCAAGTGGCACATGGTGGTGATTTCAGTAACAAAAATAGTATCTTCACTTTGGAGAATTCCTTCAAACATCGCAACAAAGGCCCACAGGACTTTTTAGTCGATACCAAAAACAAACTTTCGTATCCTGGACTTGGTGCTAATCTTGAATTTGAATTCCAACTCAAACCTAAAGCAGTGGAGTACGATCTTGATGTCCAGTATGGTAGTACCAAATTTGGTTCGGAATTGGAATATGAGCATAATACAAAAAGTGAAGGTACCGAATTTAAGCTCGATTTCGGAATTTGGGGTCTCAATAATCGAGTCAATATCAAGGGTAAAAGAACAATCTCTGGTGAGCAATCCCACATTGAAAACTCCTACGAAATTAATGGAAAACGAACGGAAGTAAATGGAAAAGTCAGACACCATATACGACCACAGGACGTTGACATTGGGGCCGATTTGGAAATTAAAGTACCCCAACATAATACCCCTTTCAAGGTTTTAGCCGACTTCAAACTCAACCCCAACGAAATTGATGCTTCGAATAAAATCACCTCCGGTGGTACCATCTACATTGATGCTTTCCTTAAGGCAAACAGAGCCGGAAATGCCAATGGTAGCATCAAGGTTAATTTGAAAGGACAGTTGGTGGTGACTGGGCAAATTAAGGCAAACAAAGGTAGTGGAAATGGTGACTTGGAGGTTGAATTACCGGCACAAGGACGCAAGAGCAAAATCGATAGTACTTTCACAGTCCACGAACCCAATTTCAACATTGTTGTCAATATCTATCCTGTTTTTGACAAGGACAAGTCAAAAAAAATCACTTTCTCGACTCAAACTACTCTGAAGCCTCACCAAATCGACTCAAAGAACTTTATCGACTTCTTTGGAAAGAAACTAGAAGCTAATGTGAAAGGTAATCAACAAGGAGATTTGAGCAATGGGAAAATCAACGGCGAAGCTGAGGTCACTCTTCCCAATCAGTGTTATTTCGCTGGAAAACTCGACCGTCAATTGAAAACCGTCGATCACGTTCTTAATGGTCAAGCAATTGCAAGTGTTGAATATCGTCCCAATAAGAACCAACCCGGTAATAAATTCACCATCAAGGGTCACTTGAAAGACACCAACCCCACTGAGAAAATCTTTGATGTTAATTACCAAATCTTGGCAGAATCAGCGAGTGGTAAAAACCTAAATGTTGATCTTGCAGTCAAGAGAGTACCACAAGGTGACAAATTCTTTACTCAAATCCATAACAAGATCTATGGTTCGGAACTATCAAGTCCTATCGAAACCAACTTCAAGGGTACTTGTACCGGATTGGTGGGCTCATATGAGGGTACTTCCACGTATGCACCTTTGGGTAAAGTCGCAATCAAGGGTAAACATGATATTAGTGGTTCAGGGAAACCAATTTCTGGTGATTTTGACATTGATGTCTCCTCCACGAGTGAACATTTGAAAAGTTTGAAATTGGGTATTGGAGGTTCGGTCCACAAAACCGACTCTGTTGACGTCAAAGGTAAAATCAACTTCTTCGGTGAAAATGCAAAGGGAGTTTTTGCACAGTTTGACTCTGATGGTGAAGTCAAAGTCAGTGATAAGGAAGCTAGGGTTAGGGGAATGGTCAAATCGGGGAAATTGGACCCGATTTCAGTTTCCGGAGGTATCAGCCGACTAGAAAACAAAGAAATGAAAGGCGATTTACGGATTGAATTCGGTAAAGGTCAGAAAATCAAAGGTGATTACAGTTTAATTCGATTACAACCACACGAATACAAACTCGATGTTAAATTTGACACACCGACTGAAAAATTCAAGAATAATAGATTGCAAGTCCATTCGAAACGCAATGATGCCAATACCCACCACCAAAGTGAAGTTATTTTGACTTCTGATGGCAAAACTTGGACGGCTAATACCGATTTAGTTTTATCTGAAATCGCCCCAAGTGTTGATATTAAAGTCAAGTGTCCTGAAGGCAAACTTCGCCAATTCTTGGTCAAAATCACGAAAATGAGCGACCGACAATTAGGAGGCCAACTCAAAATCGTCAACCAGAAGGAGAATTTCCTCCTCGAAGGCACAATTGATGCCAACATTGAAAACATCGACGATTTCCATGTGAAAATCACCGCCAATGCTCCCACTCTCAAAGTTGATAAATACGTCATTGAAGCACAGAACAAACCGGCAAAAACCGGACGAAGAATCCAAGTGACGGCCAAATCCGGAAATAAGAACATTTTAGCCGGAAGTACGAGTTACACAGCGAGGGAAGAACACGGAAAGGCCATCATTGAAGGCTCCGGATCGTTCAAACTCCACGACGAGACGAAATCAGCCAACTTTAAATACATTCGTCAAAATTTGAATCAAGCCAAGAATGGGGAAACCGGTATTGAAATCTCATTCGACGCCAGTCTTGGAAACAAAGCCATCGATGCTGAATTAAAGGTCACTGATAAACAATTCAGGATTTTGAACTCATACTGTGAGGAGAAGAAACAATGTGCGCATGTGGAAGTTGATGTCAAGACTATCGTCAGTGATGTTAAGGCTTTCAATCAAGAAATCGAAATTGCAATTGATTTACGCAAATTGGGGTTGTCGCACGAGTTTGGTCTAAAAGCTGTGACCACACGCAAGGAATTTGTCTTGGACCATACCGTCGATATGCATTTCCAAAGTCAGGAGAATAGTAAATATCAATACAGTTTGTATGTCCATCCCAAGGAAGCAGGAGTTAGTTTAACAACCCCGAAACGTATCATCGCACTTGAAAGTAAAGTCAACGTCCCATCGAACATTTTGCAAGATGGTGGATCAGTTTCAGGCGAAGTCGTCTTCTACACAGATAAAAAGAACCAACCGAATAAAAAATCTGGTCTTATTTCCTATCTCAATGTCAACACCAAAGGTCAAACTTTAGATGGTGAAATTAAATTTACAAATCCAGCTTTGAAACGGCCACTCTTGATTAGTGTCAAGTCAAAATACGTACCTCTATCTTACGAAGCTATGCTCACTTTTGATATTTTCGCCCAACCCGACCAAAAAGTCGTGGTGGTACACAAGGAAAAATGGTCAGACCCTAAAGACTATAAAAAAATTGAGGCCAATACCATAGTTGAGGTCAAGAGTGCAGGACTCCATCTCGATGTTCACTACGAGGAGTATCTCGTAGCTTCGATTGAAGACCACCACTACAAGGGAGGAGTCAAATTGAGATATGCCGGTCCTGGATCCAAACACGAATCAGCCGCCTTTTACGAAGTCACCCCCAAGGACCTAAATACCGGTGTCAAACTTTTCAACCATGATTTAATCCGTCTCACTTCCAAATACAAACTTTCTCAAAATCATCAAGTTTTCGATAGTGAGTTATGTTGTTACAGTTACAGACCACTCATGAGTCATCTTGAGGTGAAAAATCTCAACACTTTGAAATACTCAGTTTTTTGCAAAGACACACCAAATGACAAACTTTTGATAAATTCGGGTTTCAAACCTGGCGAAATTGCTGATTTTAGAGCTGAAATCATCAAAGGTGGAAAATCGCACGAATTGGGCCACGCCACTGTCAAATTAGACGATGCCAATTTCCTCAAGTCTGATTACAAGGTCCAAGCGAAAAACATCGAAGAGTTGCTTTTCAAACCGATCAAGGAAGTAATTCAACGCGAGGGTGACGAATTGACCAAATTGTCATCGGAGTTGAGTCAACACGGTCAAAAAGAATTACAAAGTTTCAGTGAAGTTGCCAAACGTGCCACTCCTGATATTGCCCCACTTCGTCAATACTACACCAGCGAAATCAACAAAATCAAAGAGGAAATCTTAGCTGATAAAACCATCAGAGATTTGAGCGAATTCCTCCACAACATTCTTTCAGTTTTTACTCAAGCTTTCGGCGACTCTTTCAAACATTTCAGCGAATTCATCGAAAACATTTATGTCAGCTTTGAGAAGACTTTCGGTAACATCATCCAAGTCATCGAGAAAGAGATTTTACCTAAACTCAAAGTCACTTGTGACAAATTCCTGAAACTCTTTATCCACGCTGTTGATGTTGCCACTCATGCTGTATTGACAATCGGTGTCCAAATCGCCGATATTGCCGACAAATACCAACCTGAATTCCAACAATTGGCCAATGTTATGGGACAAGTCAGTCAAGATATTTTACAAGCAACAATCAATTTGTACGGTGCTGTAAAGACTGTTATTATCGACCAATGGCAACAAATTTACAACGAAATCCAATCAATTCCAGCTGTGGAACAATTGAAAGCCGAATATGAGCAATATGTCAAGCACGGATTACCACCACGTGAAAACATCGCCAACACTATTAAAGATCTATTATCAACTGTTAAAGATTTAGCACCAACTGAAGAACTCAAAGCTTTCATCCAAGCCATCAGTGATTACGTTTGCTCTAAAATCAACAACCAGCAAATTGACGATAAAGCCTCCATTGATAGAATTATCCAATCGGGAGTTGCTAGTGGTAAATCAATTGTTGCTATCTTAACCGGAAGTCAACCCATCCCAGAGTTACAAAACTTCCAACTTCCACTTCCGGCGACTCTTCTCAACCGAATTCCCAGACTCACGGCGTTCAGATTTAGCCCATTCTCATTCATCTTAGGCGAAGAATTGTACGTTTCTGACTTCTTCCTGTCACTAGTGAATAGACCAAGAAACTGGATACCACCATTCCCACGTAAGTCACAAACCAAATGAAATCAATTGGAGTTAAATCTGGTCGTTTCAGTGTACGGTGTAGTAGCACAAGGCCAACACATCTTTACTTTTGACGGTAAACATTTGACATTCCCTGGAAAATGTAACTACCTCCTTGCACGTGATGCCCTCGATGGTAACTTCAGTGTGATTGGTAGCTACAAAGATGGGTTCCTTGAAGCCATTTCTTTGACCCAAGGCCCAGATACCATCACTTTGAAAAAACACCGACAAGTCTTATTCAATAATGGTAAGTCTCTGATTAAGTAAAATAACGGTTATAACCGTTTTTCTTTAGCACCAACTGAACTTCCGATCCGCAAACCCAACATAGCCGCCTACACCAACGAAGAACGACTTGTTTTAGTGTCAGATTATGGTGTTCAAGTCATTTGTGGCCCTGAACTTTTTGTTTGTTCGGTAACCGCTTCCGGTTTTTACCACGGTAAACTTAGGGGTCTTTTGGGTAACGGTAATAACGAACCTTATGACGATTTCACCCTACCTGATGGTAAAATCGTCCAATCTGAGAGCGAGTTTGGTAATAGTTACAAGACAAGTTCTGGGTGTCCTGCCGTTCAGACGGTGTCCCATGAAGGTCACCATGCTAACCCATCATGTGACAAACTTTTCGGTTGGGAATCAAGTCTTAGATACTGTTATCCGTTTGTCCCCGTCGAAAATTTCAAAATGGCGTGCGAACATGGCCTTAGTTCCGGTGTGAAAGACACAGAATTTGCCGCTGCAGTGGCGTACGTTGCTGCTTGTAACCAACATGGAATTCCAATAAGAGTACCACAACAATTTGGTGAGTTGTAGATTTAAATTTACTCTGGTATAACCGGTTTTTCCCCCAAAACAGTCAAGTGTTACAATGGTGACAAGCCAACAATGGTCGGTCATGAATTCACGGTGAAAACTCCAGGAAAAGAAGCCGATATAGTAGTTCTCATTGATACCAACAAAGAAAACGAAGCAACATTCAAAGAATATGTCCAACCATTAATCCAACAACTGACCCAAGAACTAAGCTCGAAAGGTGTGTCCGATGTTGAATTCCATATTATTGCTTTCGGAGGCGAGAATCATTGGCCGTCACATATCACCACTTCCGGTGGTAAACTAACATTCAAAGGAAAGGCGCCAAATTTGAAATTCGGGGAAAACCCGAAAGACGAACTCTTGAAAACCGAGTGTCCCCACTTGGATAATTTACTGAGGTTCATTAAAACAGTCTGTACTGATCTTAAACTAGCCTTTGGACTCGACTTACAAGCCTTGACTTATAACGAAGGCCTTGAATATCCCTTCAGAGCCAATGCGATCAAATCGATCATTGCTGTGACAAGTAGACCGTGCCAGGTTGGCCACCTCTACCCCGTAAGTAGCTTAAAAACCCCAAAAAAACAATTACGACTTGCGATTTTAGTTGCAGCTCCTTCGCACGTTGTTGTACAGAGGCAAGACCATCAACCTCAACTTGATCACACCCATTGATCGTTCAGGGGCCAAATCTGAGGCTAAAAATATCGTTGGTTTTAACTCAAGAAATGTTTATGCTATGGGTTCCACCAAAAACAAGATCAAACATTTTGGTGATTTGGGCAAAGAATTGACTTATAACGACTATTGTGTTGACTTTACCGTCCAAAATGATGGTAATGTCTTTGTCAGCGACCACATCCACTTGCAACCCAAAGCTTCAAGAAAACAATTTGTCCAATTGACTTCTCATGGTATTGTCGAACAATTGGTAGGAGTTGAGAAGAGTTACGATTGTGAATGTAAATTTGTCACGCCGTTCAGTGCCCAAAATGTATGCACACTAACTTCAAGCAAAGAAAAACCAGCCGTAAGTCAATATTAATTAATCCTCAATTAATTATTTTTCATCATGTTTTTTCTTGCAGAAAAAAACTGGCACCAAGAGTTAGATTAAGATTTATAAAAATTTGTATAAATATGTTGTAATAATTATAACACAGATAAAATAAACGTTTAGAATTATTTCGTGGTTTCATTTTTTGTGGCAATGTATACATCGCTGAGTTGTGACATGTGTTGTATGAAAGAATAAATATGACACCCTATAATCGGGTGGTAGACGATTTCAAATTTATAGAAACATGTAAAAAGTCGTGGAAAAAAAGACGCTTCAGATGTTAGGGTTGTGGGAACGAATAAAAGAAGGGTTGAAAAAATTAGAGGGTGCTTATCTGGAAAGTGGCGGGTGATTTATTGACGTGGCAAAGTGGAAGAGAAAATGTGTTAAATATTATAAAGGGTAACGTCATCAAAGCTGTTTTTAATTTCGGGGAGAAAAAAAATGATCCTTTGACGACAATAAATTGCAATTTTTTAATATTGCAATATCTTTTATCTAAGTGCAATCTTAAAATTTCTCCTTTTCTTTGTAAAAAAATAAAATTGAAAGTCAATTAGTGAAACAAAATCCCTTGGAGGTGCATATTTCTATGGTAATAACAACCAGGCGTGTTAATGACATTTATGCTGTTTTTATGTAGTGTTTTCTCATTGGTTGATTGCACGTGGCCATTCATTTTTTATTACCCCGGTAACTCGATATCATCCAACATGCACTTGTCGTTACTCCACCGACTGAAACAGCCTCATCTTTAAAAAAGAGAACGAACCAAGACAAATGAGACGTGTCGTCATGGTTTTTATCCCCGCGTTGATGATTTTCACCCATTTACCAGCGTTTTATTCGTCCCATATGTCGTCGTCAAGGTGATGCAAACAAAATCGAATCAACAGGTGTCATTGTGTTTACCCAGCCTTCTTTCAATTTTAAATATAGACACACAAAGCCTCCTGCTTGCTGTTTATCGTAATTATAAAAGTTTCTTACACGACCCATTCTTCTGGAGTGGCTCGTTCCGAACACGTGTGGTGCAAGAAAGATGAGGCAAAAAAATGTGGAAAAAAATAAAAATACCACACTAGAAACGTAAAAAATCGTTGTTGAGTTTATAATGCGAGCACAGCCATCTTCTTCATGTACATATTATATTTATATGAATCGAGGTGGGGACGTGAAGGGGATTAATATACAGCTGGTCCAAGTTCTATTGTTTTTTGTAGCGCGCGACTGTTTTAGAATTTCAACGAGCCGGGGGATGGCACGATATACTACCAAAAAATTTCAAAGAAAAACAAAATTAACACAGATGGGCGATGAATGAAATCGAGTCCATTCTCAAGTGCAATTTACTCAAATATGACATTCTACCAATACTAAAGAGCAAATTATTAAACAGTGACAAAAAATTGATTTTAAAAGCAAGTTTCACATTTTTAAAGTTTAAAAAAAACACTGTTATTTACTCTGTTTTGAAACAGTCAACATTAATAATACTAATAGTGATTAATGATTTCCCTAAAAACTCAAAGAAATAAATAATTTCTAACTTAATTGCATTATTTCGATGTACCTACTCGTACCTAGTTTCAATTAAAAAGTTTATTACTTTACTTCTTAAAAATTGTTATTTCAGAAAAAAAATTAGTAAATGATTTCTGACTTCTCCAAAAATTGATTATACAGAGAGTTCCGTTGTTATTGTTACAAATTTAAACAGGAGATAAAATATTCGATTTTAGGACAAAAGTTTCCTATTAAAATGTATCGAAAAATACTATGCAAGGGAGCTACACCTCCTCAAGGGGGTGCACCTTTTAATGAATTTTTCCAATATTTCCGAAATTATTTTAGATAAAATTACAAAATTTGGCACAGATGATAAACTTTATACACCTAAACGAATTCTAATATTCCTAAACTGACGGGTTTAGTATTCTAACTATTAAAATTTTGAATTTCATAGTTTTTCATAAAAAAGGTCATTTGCGTTTTTACGATACAACTCACCGATTTTGAGTAAAATCAGTTTTAAAATTTATGTTACAGACCATAAACAGCATAAAAATTAAAAATTAAATTCGTTTTAGCGTTTCGGACGCCCCTGATTAAAAATTTCGACATTTCATTTTGGAATTCGTTTAGGTGAACCTATAAATAAAATACCAAATTTTGTAATTTTATCTATTCTGAAATATTATTAAACGCCCTTTAAAAAAACATCCCTTTTAAGGGGTGTAGCTTCCTTACATAGCATTTTTCGAAACATTTTTATAGGAAACTTTTGTTTTAAAATTGAATATTCTATCATCTATTTAAATTTGTAATAATGAAAACGGAACAGCCTGTATACCAGATTTCGGCAATTTATGTCCACTCTCTAGTTTAAAAATCTGTGATCCTGTGTAGAAATTATATTCTGAGAGCATAAAATAAATTAAGGAAATAGTAGATTACATACAAGATGGAAAATGTATCATTATTCCAAAGGCCCAGATAATTGGATAAAACCCAAAAATGACATTTACAATAACATTTTTTTAAATAATAAAATATATGTTTTTCTGTCAAAGTTGATAGATTGATAATGTTGCTATGCAAACAAATTGAGTTTTAAACATTTAATGGACTCCTAACCTTGGTAATGCTTTATAAATTACTTCCCAACCAAGGGATATGTAATGACAAATTACTACCATCACATTTTATTTAGTGAACTATTTTATTAATTTTTTATTTTTGGACAAAAATTTTTCATAATAGGTTATAACTTAAACTTATGACTAAATAAACACTACACTAAGACTTTCAATATGTCTGTTATCAACGTATGTAAATATCTCAAACTCAAAAAACAAAAAAAACAGCAAATTAAATATTAAAAAAAACAAAATTATGTTCGCCTACAATTTTATTTTAAATCAACAGAAAACTAAAAAATGTTAAAAAATAATGGTTTCAACTGATAATAATCGAATCTGAAGCACAAGTTAATTTTTTAAAAAGTTTTAAAACAAATTATTTTACAAAACCAAGTCCTTGTTTCATAATCGAATTAAAGGGACTTTAAAATCAATGTTGGTTTAGAATGTGCTGATTGATACGGATTTGTTGACAAAAATTTCACATTCTAAACCAATATTAATTTTAAAGTCGCTTTAATTCGATTATTAAACTGACCCTAAACAGTCAAAGTGATATTAAATACCAAACATTAAAAAATAAAAGTTTCCAAATTTCACAATACGGAAAATATACAAACTAATACACATCGATAAAAAACATCGTCAAAATTTTTATGTTGGATTAGATTTTTTAACGGAATTTGCAGATTGTTCGTCTGAAAAACTACAGTAATAAAAAAAAATTAAATTTTCTTTAATATTAAAAAAAAACATGTCATAAACTTATACAAACAGCTCAGATTACCTTACCACAATGATAAAACAACAATACTCCGAAACACTTTTCTAAAAAGATTTATTTAAAATAAAAATAAAAAAATAAACAAAATAAAAATGTATTCTCTTACAAAATAATTTTCTTTTCAAAACGCCAAAGATTTTTTGAAAAAACACAACACACAACTTTCAAGATATAAAAACCCAATAAATAAATTAAATTATTCTCTCCAAAAAAGTAAAAAAGCGCTAAGAAAAAACTGAATAATAGTGATTCAAAAGGGTCGGACCACCGGTTACGCGGTGAAAACGCAAATAAAAGCTCATAACTGTTTCAACGCATGTTTTTGAAAATATTAATATGAAAAAACTGAATTATTAATTGATTCAATTATAAAAATCTGTGAAATATAAAATTTCAAATAATAAAAATTCATTATTTCGTAAAAATTGCTACAAAATCATTCAACAAAGGACAAAAAATTTGTGTATACCAATTACGAAATGAATTTAACGTTAGCGCAATTCGTCTCCCGAACACTCCGAAAGTAACCGATTAGCGTTTTTTTGCCGCCTCCGAATAACCGCTTAAGACCATTAAGCCCGAAGATGTCATCTCAATTTATAAATAGCGTTTAAAAAGGCAACACACACACTCGAGTCAAGCGCGCGTCATTTCAACCCTGACATGTAACAGTAAGTACAATCATCACTTATCTTCATTTTTTAACACCTCCAATTCCAGATGTTAAACACAAACGAAATGATCTACGAATCACCACCACCGGTGGTTCACCTAAGCCAAGTCGAATTAATGGAGAAATTCAATCTCGCATTTTACGAAGGCCAAAACTCAAAAAGCGACATTCTGACTTTCGACGAACCGGAAATCAAAGACGACTATTTGATCGATTATTTGATATCAAACGGGAGCGAAAATGAAAATTTTGACTTTAACGAATTCGTGCAAACCTTCGACGAGAATTTATCACCAATTTCGGAAAGTTTTTCGGACATTTTTGGACCCCCAAGTACGGATTTGGACGACATTGATTTGGATTTTCAAGACTTGGATCTTCTCCCTCCTGTCAATTCCTTCGGGACTTATCTTAGGAGTCTTCCCGAAGACACTCTAATTTCATCAAATCAAGACACCAGAGCCGAATTCGGACACTTGATTGGGACCCAAAACCTTAACAACAATTGCATTATTGAGGAACCTCTTCCTGATAACCAAATCGTCCTCCCTCAATCCGAGGCGCTCCTCCACGATGACCCCCTCCTTTTCGAGACAAGTGAAGTGACCTCCTCCACGACCCTCCAATGTCAATGGGAGAATTGCTACCAAATCTACGATTGTCAAACCGCTTTGGTCAAACACATCGAAAAGTGTCACGTGGAAGTGAAACGAGGGGAGGAATTTGCTTGTTTTTGGGCAAATTGTCCTCGAAAAATCAAGCCGTTTAATGCCAGATACAAGCTTTTGATCCATATGAGAGTACATAGTGGCGAAAAACCGAACAAATGCCCGGTAAGTAGTTTTTAACACATGTTTTTGACACCACCTGGGCCAACTTAAAGTTCAGTGAGCCTTGGAAAATAAACAATGATGAAAAAAGAGCGTCGGTTACATCATCCCAACTAAATTTCGGTTTTTTACAGTTCGAGGGTTGTAATAAGGCTTTTTCACGATTGGAAAACCTGAAAATTCACCAAAGAAGTCATACAGGGGAACGGCCATACCTGTGCCAATTTCCCACCTGTACCAAAAGTTTCTCCAACAGTTCGGACCGAGCAAAGCACCAAAGAACACACTTCGATACGGTGAGTGTCTCAAAAAAGTCATTTTTTTTTTCTTAATTGCTGTTTGCAGAAACCATACGCGTGTCAAGTGGTCGGTTGTACAAAAAAATACACCGATCCTAGTAGTCTAAGAAAACACGTCAAAAACCACACAAATGAAGAACAAATGTTGGTAAAGAAGAAAGGCCAAGATGAGTGCTTCGATTCGAGTTATGTGCGAAAATTCTTCGACCCAAATCGACAAAAAGCAGTCAAAAGTGACAAAAGCCGACTTTACACCGATCATAATTATTCTTCCGAAGAACGAAAATACGACTCGGTCAATATTAGACAAGACTTAAAGAATAAAATCTCTGAAAAGCGGTTGCGGAAACTGTACTGAAGCTCTTGTGATAGAATTTGTTATATATTTTTGTATTTTTTTCTATTAAAGTTTTATAATTATTGGGTGTTTATATAATGACATTTAACCGAAATAACCTGAAAAGTAATGAATTATAAATGCCGGTTTTTTTCCGTACAAAAAACACAAACAAAATAAACCGAAAACAGGAATAAAGGGAAAACTCGTAAACAAAACGAATAAACTTGAGTGTTTTACGTTGAAGGTTAATAAATTCTAAAAGACAGATTTTGATGCAATCCCTAAATTAACGGTAATTCGTGCAAAATTCAAGGGATCCGAAATAAAAAAATTAACAATTACAATTCACAGGTAGAAACATGAATGAAAAATGATGACGCATAACACAAAACAGAATTTAACACTAAAGTGCCATCAAGTAAATTAAATAAATGTGACATCATGTAATAATAATTCAAGTAGATGAATAAATATTTAAAAAAAATTGAAAAAATTACCCTAATTCTGCATTTGAAACAGTGTTACGTCACTCAAAATCCGAGAAAATTCAAATTAACGTCATTTCCGCTTAGCAACGGTATACGACGTAATCACAATTACAAAAAAGACAAGAAGAAAATTATTTAAAAAATCAAAAATGACAGTAAATTAAGCGATTGCGACTTTTCCAACTTTACAAAATCACAACAAAAAAAGTGAAACATCATTCGTTGGAGAAAATTGACTCAAGTCCTGAAGGAGTAAGAAACATAAAAATACAAAAAAATCAATAAGAAAAATTGAAAATTGAAGCCAACACTTCGAAGAAAAAATTTTACAACTGTACAAAACCGTATTCGTATAAATTCCAGGGAAAATTATTTATTATTTGTGTTATATCTGGAAAAATTTTAATGGGACCCTAAACCATAGCATACTAAACGTTTTTTTGCTTAAACTATTTATTTGCATTTTTATTTGAATATTTNTTTTTATTTGAATATTTATTTGAAAATATTTTTTTTTATCTTTTTGAGTTCTGAAAATTTTTTAAATTTTTTCAAATGGCAACCCAATATAAAATCTTTTTTTTTACAAAAAATATGACCCAAAATGACAGCTATCTACATTTTATTATTTTTTTTTTCAAAATAATAAGTTGCCATCTTGGAAAAAAATGCCAAACTCGTTAATAAAACACAATTTCAAAACACAATTTGTTTGTTCATTTTCTGAAAGCAAATAATTGCTTAGTTCCATACTTTTTGTTTATCCTGCACCTAAAAGTTACTTGGAGGTGCCACCAAACGATGGGTATGGTAATGGCCCCACAATAAAAAAGAGAAAAAAACGGTTGTTGTGTAAAAAATAGACATCCTTTTTCAGGTACTTAATGAAACTGGACTGTGATAATTTTAATTTTACATTCACGTGCACTTTTCTCACACTACCAACGCTAAAGTAGATTTAGATGTGACAAACACATTTACCCTTACCTTACCTTGAAGATAACCTTACATAATGAATGTAAATTTTACTAGACATCTTGGAGGAAGTAGGAAAACTGCCATATTTAACTCTAATTTTAAGAGTAGATAACAATTAAAAGAAATCGTTAGTATGTTATTTATATCCTATTTTATAATTCATGTTAGAATATGATTACAAGTTTCTGGTCTAATCTTGTTCAAGTTGTTGAATTTTTATTTTGCGTTCCTAACCTATACCTATTTATGCACAGATCGATTAAATTTATAATTGGAAAAAATCGTAATGAAGTAAGTGTCCCATCTAAAGGAAGTCTCTTTTACATAATAAATGTTCATTTATTCACAGCGATTGAATAATGTTGTCAGGATATTTTAGGCGCTACTCAGTGTCTGATTTGGTGAAATTTACAAAGAGAGTTATTTATACGAGAAAAAATGAATAAAACATAACTTAGTTTAAGATTTGTCCATCCACTAGATTTTTCACATCTAAAATCGGAAGATAATCAATAATAATGGTGTGAAAACTGAAAAGCTCAATGAAATAAAGGTCAGCGCATCCAAGTCGTGCAAAATTTCAAAGTTCAACAACCATCACTTTGCAAACAACAAAAACAACCAATGAATAAAACAGTAAACAAACGAAACGCACACGAATTAATTTCCCTCTAAAAAAAAATCGATTTTCACCAGAGTACTACGTATAAATAAATATGTAAGTGAATGAGTGTCGTGCATATTTCCTGTTGTGTCTCCCATTCAAATCATTGATGAATGAAGAAGGAAAAAAAATTGGACGCAAGTGACGCGTTATGAACGTCAGAGGTTTTCTTGACTAAGGCCCGGTCCAGCAATGTCCATCAATGGTGGTTAAAAATTCGTCTGGACCGGCCAATTACATAAATCTCCAATTTAAAACTCAATCATAACCAAGGTGAAGGGGACATCAAGGTGACTGAAATTAAAGTGAAAAATTCACACGTGTTGCGTGACCTTGAACGCAACTTTTCCGCCCTCTATCGGCGAACATTGACATTTCCGTATGACACGAACTGAATATGCATGGTTGTGTCATATATGCCGATTATGTATTTTGATTGTTTACGCCGGATTCGGGCTTATGTATGAATTTAGTATGCAAATACGTTTTGGTGGACCTGTGACCATCTGACCTAATGCAAAAAAGATCAGCTGAATTATTACCGATATATTAATATTAATAATGGGCGAATTATGTCAAATTGATGACTGAAATGCTTATTTGGACGGTAATTGACGAGAAATAGGAATTTCGTCCGGTTATGAGACTTTCGCAGATTTTTTTATAACCTTGTTGAATGTTGACAAACGTTCTGATTAAAATTTCGGGTAGACGAAAAGATTAATGACATTTATGTAACGAGACGACAGACGGAACATCCAAAACTCTCATTTTTCACATGGCCTTATTTTAAAACCAGAAACAGGTACACAAAACCCGATTTTGCAAAAATATACAACACAGCCTGTGTATTTTTTAATACTTTAAACTCATTTCCTACATTTAAGACATATCAGGTGAATAAAAAGTATGGAACCAAACGTTTTTTGCTTAAACTATTTATTTTTTGAAAAAACTAATTGATGAGTGATAAAGTACTATAAAAATGTGATGATTTTACAAGAATAAAATTTTTGAAATTTGCTTTTGTTTTTGAGTTCTACAAAAAAAAAAATTTTAAATGGCAACCCACTATAAAATCATTTTTCTCATAAAAGCTATACTTCAAGGATTACAACTACCTGCTTTATATTTAATTTTTTCAAAAAAAATTTTTCACATAAATTGCAATTTTGACAAAAAAAAACGCATAACTCAAAAACAAAACAAAATTTTGTTCTGAAAATATGATCAGATTTTTTAATTACTTTAATTTATATTAATTATTATTTTCTGGAGGTAAATGATTAAAAATAAAACCGCTTGGTTCCATACTTTATATTCACCCTGTATGTGCAATAAGTAGTTCGGATTATGGAGGTTCTACTGTAATAAATATTTCTGCTACGCGACCTCGATTTTGAAATACAAAAAAAAAAACGGTTTTCGAAAAAAAAAAAATACATTTAACACAAAAAAATACCAGTAATGAGCATTAGTACTCTTAATACTCAAAAATCCGAACAAAAATCTTTAAATTTAACAAAAAAATCAATTCAACCATTTCAAAAATATGGGTAGTAAACATAGTAGTTTATTTGTGAAGCGCATACTTACATTTTACAACTGTCAGTAAAAGAAAAAAAAAAGAGTAAAAAAAGGTATTATTAAAAAAGATGCAGGAAAAAACTACTTATACCGGGTAAATAATAAGTATGGAACCATAAACTTATTACTTTACGATAAAATAATTAGTGCACTGTAAAATACTATAAAAATGTATCGTTTTTCAGGATTTAGTTTTTTTTAGTTTTTGGATAAAAAAAACATACCGCTTTGGTTAAGTTCGTAAAATCTGATGAATTCGAAACACAACTTTAACAATTTATTAGACTACTGAATAAAAAGAATTTTATTTAATTAGAGGTCATTTTAGATCGTAATCTTTAATTAAAAAAATATTCAGATGGGTTGTCATTAAAATAGTAGATTATGTTATTAAGAATAAAAGTGATTGTCTATGTGGCGAAGCTAAACGTTCATTTTGCCGAACGGAGTAACATCCGAAACTCTCATTTTTCACACGTACATGGCCTTATTTTAAAACCAGAAACAGGTACACAAAACCCGATTTTGCAAAAATATACCACACAGTCTGTATATTTTTTAATACTTTAAACTCATTTCCTACATTTAAGACATTTGTGCAATAAATATTTCGGATTATGGAGGTTCTACTGTAATAAATATTTCTGCTACGCGACCTCGATTTTGGAATAAAAAAACGGTTTTCGAAAAAAAAAAACATTTAACAAAAAAAAATACCAGTAATGAGCAGAATTAGTGCTCTTATTACCAAAACTCGATACTCAAAACTTGGAATAAAAATCTTTAAATTTAACAAAAAAATAATCAATTCAACCATTTCAAAACTATGGGTAGTAGTTTATTTGTGAAGCGTATACTTACATTTTACAATTGTCAGTACATAAAAGAAAAAAAAAGTAAAAAAGTTATTATTAAAAAAGATGCAAGAAAAAACACTACTTATACCGGGTGAATAATAAGTATAGAACCAACTTATTACTTTACGACAAAATAATTAGAGTGCAGTGTAAAATACTATACAAATGTATCGTTTTTCAAGATTTTTTTTTTATTTTTTTTTTAGATTTTGGATAAAAAAACATACCGCTTTGGTTAAGTTTGTAAAATCTGATGAACTCGGAACACAATTATTAAACTACTGACTAAAAAACAATTTTATTTAATTAGAGGTCATTTTTAGACCGTAAT